GGGGAGCGATGTCCCGCGGGGAGGAGGAGGAGGAGGAGGAGGAGGAGATGAGGAAGCGCAGCCCGGGGTGACCCCCGAGGGGGCGGCGGAGCCCCCGGACCCTCCCGGTGAGGGGCCGAGCGGGGGAGCGGGGCTGGAGCCCCCCGGGGACGGCGCAGGGACGGGGAGCGGATCCCCCGAGGGACCGGGGGGACCGGGAGAGGAGCAGCGAGACCCCGGCGGCGACAGCCCGGGGGGCTCGGGGATGACACTGGGGGAGCCGGGAGGGGCGGACGAGCCCGAGGGCTCCGCGCCGGGCAGGGCAGAGCCCGAGGGAGAGGCGGCGGCAGCGGCGGGGACAGAGCCCCGGGACGCGGCCGAGGGTCCGAAAGGGACAGAGCCCGAGGACGCGATGGCGGCCCCGGCGGGGACGGAGCACGAAGAAGGGGCCCCGGTGGGGAAAGAGCCCGAGGACGCAGCCGTGGTTCCGAAGGGGACAGAGCCCGAGGACGTGGCGGTGGTCCCGGAGGGGGCAGAGCCCGAGGAGGCGGTGAGGGAGGAAGCCCCGACAGAGAAAGAGCCCGAGGAGGAGGCGACAGTCCCGGCAGAAGCAGAGGGGACAGCCCGGTTGGGGACAGAGCCCGCAGAGGTAGAGGGGACAGTCCCGTCGGGGATAGAACCCGGAGAGGGAACAGCTCCGTCGGGAGCAGACTCCGGAGAGGCAGAGGGGACAGCCCGGTCAGGGACAGAGCCCCCAGAGGCAGAGGGGATAGCCCAGTCGGGGACAGAACCCGCAGAGGGAACAGTCCCGTCGGGGACAGAGCCCGGGGAGGCAGAGGGGACAGTCCCGTCGGGAACAGATCCTGCAGAGGTAGAGGGGACAGTCCGGTCGGGGACAGAACCCGAAGAGGGGACAGTCCCGTCGGGGACAGAGCCTCGAGAGGCAGAGGGGACAATCCCGTCGGGGACAGAGCCCGGGCAGGCGCCAGGACAGGCGATCCCAGAGGGGACAGAGCCCGAGGACTCGTCGGGGACAGGCCCCCAGGATGAGGTGCAGGAGGCAGCCCCGACGGGCGCAGTCCCCGAGGAGGCTCTGGGGACGGTCCCCGAGGATGTGCGGGAGGCAGCCCCGAGGGAGCCGGTCCCGCAGGATGAGGGGCAGGAGGGAACCCCGGCTGGGACAGTCCCTGAGGAAGGGGCGGCCCCGGTGGGGACAGTCCCCGAGGGTGCGGGGCGGGAGGAAAGCCCGGCTGGGACAGAGCCCGAGGATGCGCTGGGGACAGTCCCCGAGGCTGAGGGGCAGGAGGGAGTCCCTGCGGGGACAGTCCCTGAGGATGCGGTCCGGGGGGAAGCCCCGTCGGGGATAGACCCCGAGGATGCGGTGCGGGAGGCGGCCCCGGCTGGGACAGGGCCCGAGGAGGTGCGGGAGGAAGCCTCGGCTGGGACAATCCCTGAGGATGCGGGGCAGGAGAAAACCCCAGTGGGGACAATCTCTGAGGACGTGGGGCAGGATGCGGCCCCGTCGGGGACAATCCCTGAGGATGCAGGGCAGGAGGAAATCCCGGCAGGGACAATCCCTGAGGATGCGGGACAGGAGAAAACCCCAGTGGGGACAATCTTTGAGGACGTGGGGCAGGATGCGGCCCCCTCGGGGACTATCCCTGAGGATGCGGTGCGGGAGGAAACCCCGGCGGGGACAATCCCAGAGGTCGCAGTGCAGGATGTAGCCCCGACGGG